TCATGAATCGCGGCGATCAGCGTCCTTCGATGTGGCTTTACTTTAGTATAATTTTTAAAATATTTCAAAACCACATTTCCTTGCACGCATAACCGCGAAAACGAACACCAGTAAACTTGGGGCGAACCGACTTTGGGGCGAACTGACTGTGGGGCGAACTGGTCTGGGGCGAATGTGCATTGGGGCGAACTGACTGTGAATCATGTGTGCACGCGCAAACATATGGAGCCCTGGATCCATGGCTCATCATCAAATTGAGCGATATTTACATTGGGTTGTCAATTGCCCACTCAAGCATCCCTAAGGATAATCTGCTATAGCAAAATGAGATGCACACAAACACAGAATAAACTCAACACAACAGAACCAAATTAGAAGTGTAACTGAAATTTCTACAGATAGATAGAATTTCTGATCATTATTAATTTGAGTTTAGTTTCATCTATTTGACAAAGTTTCGAGTTTAATTTGAATACCCCAATATATATAACAACAATAGTAGTACTGTGAAAGAATTGCAGCATGGTCATTTGGCAAGTAATAACACTTTGTCTGTGAAATGTTCAACTATATTATTACAAAACCCTGACTGTTAAGCTGTAGGGATATGTTGAATTATTATCATGTTCGACGACAGTTAAAGTCTACACGACGAGGAATAAACAAAAATACAATGATGGTGACTGAAGTCACACACATGACATTGCAACTTTGAGCAGACGGTTCACAGATGCGGTTACCCTTCTATTACGGATTACGGCAGGCAAATTAAAAGACCGCAAGTCAAATGATCAGTATATGACATAGAAGACAAACTGACTGCATATAATTAACGGGTGACTTAACAAATTTACAACAAATAGAAGCAGAACTCACCATTTCAGAGGATTTCACGCTGACTTTATGTATGTGTGTTCGGGAGCACGCTACTCCAATATTTAAATTGCGCCCTCTGTGGCTTGTAGTCCCAAGTTGCGGCGAACTCCGCACAGTTCGATACTTCGCTGGTTCCCGGCGTCCTTTGCGAATGACACTTGAGGCGGAAACCAGCCAAAGTTCGATACATGTTACTTATCATAAATAGCACCCACAATGGTAGCGCAAAGGCCTCTGGGAAGGAGATTGAAGTTGAGCAGTAGTCGCGCCGCGTCCTGTTCGATATGGGACTCATAGCGACGTACACAACGCGTGTAAAATACATTGTTTATTTACATGAAATTCGAACACGCGCTGCGCGACGACCACCAGCTTTAAATGTGACTACTCAAACGCAAAACGCATGTGCACTGTGCGCATCCCCGGTACCTAATAAATGAAAAAAGTGAATCAATATAGTTTCCCGAACATGGTAGGTTCGAAGGTGACGCACAGAACAGTAATCTCCAAATTTTGTCGTGACTCTATTTTTTTCCACCTTGCATAGCAATAATCTACTCGAAAGACATATATAATCCAAAGACTTTCGTGAAACTGTATTGACCTAAAAAATACATCTTACAGCGTGTGGCACGATGGCGTGTTTTGGGAATTAATATCATAATATCTATAATATTGTGAAATATTAAATACACGTAAACTCAGTAGTCTAGCCGAGTCATTGTTAACATAATCGGAGATTAAATAAGGTTGTAATACGAGCCCCACAGTCTTCACATTATAATAATAATAAAATGAGCTGTTTAATGTGAGCTGATGACAAAATTGTTTAGATAATGAATGTGGTATATAGTACACAACAATGTAGAAGATATTGCAGTCAACTTGAACGCAAGGAAATATCATTTTTATAACCAAACCAAATTGATGGAAGATTTATTTTTCTACAAAGATGAGGAAATCAAGGTTATTCAACAATTTTAATAAAATATAAATCGAATAGAATTCTGAAAACGTGGATGTCCCTTTTTTGAAAAATTAGGCCGTCCGATATTAGTCTGTGGCACTCACGGTGATGTTCGGGATATGACATTTCATACTAATTAAGGTTGAGAACGTGCATTCGGGGGCGGGGAGTCTCGCCTGGATTTCGGAGTGCCCTGTTGCCAGTTAAAGAGTGGACTAAAAAATTTGAGTTTTTGGAAATTTATACTTGCAAGTTCGATCATGTGAGATAAAACGAAACCATAATAAGCTGCTGTACAGAGTAAAAATATAAATACGATTACTTTACTGTTATTTACTATAATATGAGGATATCCTGAGCGTACGAACACCCACTACACGAATAACCTGGAACACTTTCCAGTGGTAAAAATGGAACAAGAAATAATGACACACATCTTGTTGCAATACATCAATAAATAAACATATGATAAAAGTGTGTTTCGTGTTTTAATAAATTTTAATAAACAACACCACCCGAACTTTATTTATTAATTAAATTCATTTTATTTAGTTATTTAAAATAACTCTGATAATAGTAATAAATTAAAACACCAAAAACTTGAAAGTTACGGGTTCAGCATACTATCTATTTACTTATAACGAGTTATTAATATTTAGTAAATAATTATAAATGCACGTCATGTGACATAGATTTATTATTAAATACTACGCTCGAAACAACTCCCCGATGTCACGTGATGTCAGCTTCTTTCTCTGACTGCTTTAATTTAATTTAAAGCCAAATATTATTTTATTTTCAACATCTGCTGACACTGACCAATCAGAAGCTGTAACCATACCTAATTTAGGACTTCAAGGCTTAAAATAACTCCACATTCTAAACAACACACTAACACTTTCAGACCAACTGCTTTTATATTTGCAGTCGTGAATTATGGCCAGTAACGCCGTGGCTTGTCTGCCATTAATGCAAGAAATCATCAGCTGCAACGATTTCACTGATTGTCAGTCACTTGGCCTATGTATAAAGTACAATTTTTTTTCGCTGCAGGGGTGAAAGAGTGAAAATACCCTTTTCCTATATTTTACATTAAACTCATCAAATACCAGTGAAAGTAAACTTTATACAAAACAGCTAAAATGTCTTTTCAGCGAAAGTATTTTACATCTATATTCCACTGTCCAAAAATAACCACTCTTTGCCTCGCGCTCATCGGTATGTTGTTTATTTCTGATAGAGGGCAATTTTCGACCAGCATCTGATTGTTAGCATTTACTCAGAGAGTACTCTTGTCTTTTTCAGCATTTATCAAGAAAATACTTTCCTTGTCCTAGCAATCTGCATTTACTATAGTTTCTTGATTCTACTTGGTAAACAAACTGTTACAGTAGTAAGCAGAACTTGCTTGTTCTCACGTGATCAAAGTGGAGAGTACAACTTTCATCCTCGATATTTAAAAAAAACAAACATATTTTTGTGAAATAACACTCTGGATCCGAAGTAACGATTTCGAGATCGTGTGATCGTGGCGCGGCCAGTGTTTGGAGTGCGTCTGCGTACCTTGTTACACTACGCAGAGTTCGTGTGCGTCATTGCGTTCTTTATGCAGAGTAGTGACGAACATTAGAACACGTTATCTACGTTCCACACTCGAAGAAGACCAAAAAGGGGAAAATTGAATTGTTGTATATAGAATAAGAAAGAGGTCACCATGCGCAGTTTATTTTCTACATCGTTTTCTTCCACGAACTGGGACCAAGCCCCCACCGTTGGTGGCGACGTTGGCGAAACTAGTCTTATGGATTGTATGCAAAGAATCGACACTTCTGGTGTAGAGAAACTCGTCAACGCAGAGAGCGCTGAAATCAGCCAAGCAATGAAAGTGTTGCGTACATTGAAACAACAACAGACCAGAGGGGAAGGATGTGATATCGTTCTGCAAGTGTCAGACAAAGAATACAAGGCACATACAGCGGTGCTCGTAGCCAGCAGTCCCTATTTTGAAGCGCTGCTCCGAAGTGGTATGAAGGAATCAGTGGAAAACAGAGTGGAGTTGCACGGTATTAGCAATGTAGCAATGGAGATTGTTTTACAATACATGTACTCTGGGTGTATAGATGTAGATTTGTTCAACGCACTTGAAGTTCTAGTTGCCGCGGATTTATTTCTTATGACATCTCTTAAATCCATGAATGAACATTTTCTTAGCAACAACATTGACACTGAGAACTGTTTGTTCCTTCGTGCACTCTCACAACGGTTTCATCTGGCCATCTTATTGATGAACTGCAACAAATTTTTGCAGAAGAGAGAAAATCTGAAAGAAATAGTTAGCGGGGAAGAAATTCTTGACTTGGGTTTTGATCACTTTCACGATATTATCACATGTGATGTAGTTTCCGTTACAGTGGACAACGAGGAAGCGTTATTTGAGCTGATTGTAAAATGGACAGAATTTAATAGACAAAGCAGAGAGGACCACTTCCCGGCGTTGTTGTCATCGATACGTCTTCCGCTGATGGAGAAAGAGTATTTCCTCAATAAAGTAGAAAGGCAAGAGCTCGTCAAAAAGTTCCCGTCCTGTGCAGAGTATGTACAAGAAACACTGCGGTACTGGGTAAGCCCTGGGAGGAAAACTTCTCTTGACAATTCATTGCTCCAACATCGCCTTGGTCGTATGGTTGATGTAATATTACTTTGTGGCGGGAGGGATTGCAGAGATCGAGTGCGACGTGACGTAGTTGCGTACGTCATTGATTACGATGCCTGGGCAGTGCTAACTCCATTGCCGACTTTTATGTCATCCCACGCAGCGGTCACATTGGACGAAAAGGTCTATGTAGGTGGAGCTTTGGGGACAGTAACAAATTCGAAGTTATTTTGTTTTGATCCGGTTAAAAATACATGGAATTCACTCCCACCAATGCACTATCTTCGGGACAACTTTACTCTCTGTGCATGCGCTGGAAAGTTATACGCCATAGGTGGGAAAGTTCGCAAAAACTTATTGCAGTCGGATGAATGTATTGCCGTGGCAACGGTCGAAAGATTTGATCCTATTACTCATGGATGGGATGTTGTAGGATCGATGGGGACACCTCGATCATTCGCAAAGGCTGTTTCGATCAACGACAAATACATCTACGTGTCCGGGGGAGAACCATCCCATAATTCCACACCCTTCTCTGTTGAATATTACATGTGTAATGAAGATAAATGGATGCCACTTAAGAGAATCAACCAACAGCGAAATGGTCTTAGCCCACCACCATTGCTGAACCTTGGAGATCAGCTGTACATTGCCTATTTGAATGGCGAGAATACAAAACTCAGCCCTTACCAGGACTGGAAAGTCGATAAAACCATTCCCAAATTACCGATTTTCGGAACAAACGGCACCGTTTGTCGCCACGAGAGTGCCGTGTGTTCGTTAGATTCCGGGGGTATATTTGTATGCGGTGGGTGGAATGATAACCTAGGCCGCGATGTTTTTAACCAAAAATTCGCCTATATTTGGAATCCTGCCAGTGGAAGTAATAAGTGGCAGAAACTTAGCCCTCCTCCAACCAGTGGTGTTGACAGCGCTGCATGTTGTCAAATACAAATACCCTATAAATATTTACAATTTTAAAATACTTTCTCCATGACATTTTAACATGACCAGAGGACAGGGTGTCTGTTTATTACGTCATGTTTAGCTCCCAAGCCCGTCATTATTTACGCAGAAGTCAGTGATCATCATGTCTACAAAATGTATACCCATATAAGTTGTGAAATAGTCTGGTCTAAAACGCATCATGTATCATGTAATATTACTGCACGTGTAAATATGCAGAGTTTAATTTCAAATGTGTAAATTTATTATCTATATTTTCGAATATGAAATAAAAGTATCTTACAAAATTGTTTTTCTTCTTTCAACGTAAATGTAGAGAGATATTTTTAGTTACGTAGTGATCTTTGGGATTGGGATGCACTGCGTTAAATACTGCGCCCTCACCGCCCGACTTTCAACTATGAGTCCGTCGGTGAGGGAGCAATAACACATTAAGAACTAAAATTGTGTAAATATGAATTTAATTTGAAAATGACTTAAAAGACATTAAAAGATTCGTCTAAGTGATCACAACTTGGAAGTTGAACTTTGGAGAAAGAGTATTCCGAAATTTGAAGCTAAGACTACATTTCTGCAGACTATGCAGAAAATGTGAACTGGTGAGTTTTCGTTTTAGACACAGCCTCAGCCCCCCCCCCTCCCCATTAGTAGTGTAAGCAATGACCGCGTAGCAAAACACGATAACATTTTACGGGAATTGATTTAGAGACGGGTCCTTGCTGTTACTCTCGTTCAATCCCTCGTATTTGTATGACTACCAATTACAGTCATACGCCATGATATTTCGTTTGATAACTGTATAACTCATAAGCCTTAATCCGCCCGTTACGTGGGCAACAGTTACCAAATATCACTACCAGATCCTATTATGGATTTAGGGAATTAACTTTCGAGTGGTTACATTTTTAGTAATAGAAAACAGTTTGTTAGGTCTTCAATTACTTGAATATAACCTGTTGCTCATTTCTTTTTCGTTTCAACATAAATGATATATTCATCGACTGCGTTTATTTTTAGGTTATGTTATTTACAGATGATACAAGCATGTTTCAATTTATTCACCATGTCACATGACCGTTTCCAAAGATTCTTTTGAAAAAAAACATCACAATTTTCAAAAGACTTGGAACATATTTTGACATTGATAAACCATTACAATTAAATAACACACCATTCCGTCAAATACGTAGGTTTTCAATTAGATTCAATTTTCTCTTCTAAACTTCATATAAATACCCCAATCATAGATTGTCATCGAAATTACGTCATTATGTACCCAAAATACATACTAGCGATGCTATACAACTGCCCCATTCAGTCATATTTGATGTATTTTTTGGAAATGTAGGGTCATACATAGAACTTAATTTTGAAGCCTATATTACAGTGTATACCACCAAGATCGTGTCATTGAGATTACCCTGGATTTAATTTTTGTAAGACACTAAATGTTGTAAGAAAACACTACGATAAAGACTTTCCGTTTTCGACATTGTGAAATTACAGTATTTTTACCAAGTAAAATCATATTTATTAAATTTATTGTTCATACATACACTACATAGTTTGTAATTTTATTTAGCTTTTTTCAATCATACGCCAAGACAAATAAAAGGCAAACATATAGAGATTATAGCAAATTAACGTTTTTCTGTAATATTCTCAGTGTAATCGGTAATTATGAAAATTATTCATGGGTGCATATGTAATACATTTAGTTATGAATTATTCGTAATATAAATTTCTGAATTATCTTGTCAAAATCAGTTTTTTCAGGGGTTTTCTCCCAAAAAACGAAAGAATTTCACAATGTCGAAAACGGAAAGTCTTTATCGTAGAGTTATAACGACTGATTGTCTACTTTGCTGTTTCAAAATATTGCCGATTACCAGCAGACTTCATTACAGTCGCGACATATTTACATAGAATTAATATAAATATGTCTAGACTATAGACAAAAGTATGCATCAACAGTATTAGTAGGTAATAAGTTGTTCTAATCTCACAACGGCTTTTACCAACATTCAGAGCAATCTCGAGAAAAAAACCTTCGGTGGTTTTCAATGTATTGTTGCAAAGAAATGTAGTAGGCTATTAACACTCAGTTCCACACGTTGAAAAGCTTAGAATAACGTAAATTGATTTTCGATTTAAAACATGACAATTTAAATAAATTTGATTAGTTCATGCCGATTTCAAATTCTTAAAACACACAATCAGTTCCCAAATCGAGAATGTTTCATCCAAAGGGCAAATAATTTTCTGTGTGAAGGCAGTGGATAGTTCTCTTCTTTGGAACTCGTTACCCTGGCAACAAATAAGATTTAACAGAACCCTGAAAATGCACGCACTAAATTGCTAGTTTAAGAGTTGGCTTATACAATAGTACATGTACATGGTTGGACATAAAGCTTCATTATATCAATTAGAGCTATTTATTGTGTTTATCACAATGATTTCTCTGAATGTTTACTGTTGTATGATTGTGTTATGATCAAGTTCATTTTTAGTTGTTTGTGGTAACAAACTACACACATTTCTGTGAATAAGTTATTACAAGTGTATAGATAGCAAAATATCTGATGATAAATTGCGTTGCTTCAGTCTTATGGTGAAAAATGTGAATATTTCATCTTTAATTCATATTCATAATCGTTATATTATATTAAAGTTATGTTTATTACGTTCAAATTCAATTCTGAAGTTATAAATAATTACAAACATAAGTATCTTGAAGACATTGTATTATTATACTGTTTAATTCTTATCTTGTTACAAATGTAATAATCAAGTCCTTGTCTCTCGTGTAATAGTTGTTCATTGTAGTCTGACTACTGGCTGATGCGCTGCCATGAACGCGATAGCGATACAAATTGAGCAGGTACATTTGAGGTACCAATATGGCAAATGAGTTAAAATCTGATCTATAAAAGTTACTATGCATTCTAGTATAAACCCCTATACATCATACGAGGGCTTAGATATTGGCGAATACATTGTCCCGTACATTATACGGCCATACGATATTTGTCTACCTGACGGCCAATTTTGCAATCACCTTGTTTTAGCACTTACAGTCACGTGACCGACCTGTGAATCTACGACACATTCGTAACGCATCGTCCGCTGCACGGTGTGTTCCGTCGGACATTCCTCCCTCTACAACACCGTGCGGTAATTCTATTCATAACCGTGTATGTCACGTGGTTGCGCGATAGAAAGTTTACCGACCAATAGAAAGCTTTGTTACAATGACTGCCAGAAAGCGCCTCGACATCTAAGCCAACACAGCTACCACTGTGTGCAGCGACATTTATTCTCGGGTCAGGCATTTTCACCGCCTGGCAACCATCATGGTGAAAACAAAGGGTGTGCTTAAACCGAAGAACGAAGAAAATATATGTTATGATTAAACAGTATGAACGATGAGTGCATGTAAATGTATTAAACTGTTATGATTAAACAGTATGAATATTCTGTCTTCGTTCTTTGTTTTTCGTTCTTCGGTTTAAACACACCCGACAACAAATTTTCAGAAAACGGTATTTTGGGATGGTTGTTGACACCCCCCTGAACAGTGTAACAAGATTACATATGCAACATATTTAAATTTGATTGTTTAGGATGTCTTCAAAGTTTGTGCTGTTTTCTCGATTTTAGCTATTTTCACCGGCTTTTCGACCGGTGTTTCACGGCAGCTCACCCGGCAGTTCGCGCAGAGCCCATATAAATACAAGGTAGAGTGGTGCGCGTCTTAAATAGCAACGTTCCGCCCCGAAGATTATGATAGCTTGGCCAAGCGCGTTGAAGAAAGAAGCAATATGATTGGCTGTTGGTAAACATGATTCTAAACTGTGAGGGCATTGTCACATACACGTAGTCCTAA